GTCCGTAACAACACTTGTTTACAATCTGCTGCTGCTCAGCATCGTCTGCCAAATGATGACAACAAAAGTTGGGAGAGAACAACAGCGTCCACTTTGGAATTTCTTTGAATATGACTGCGAGAAAAATCAAAGCAAGTGTCTTGTAGTGGAAACAGGTGATGAAAGAGGTGGAAAACTTCTCAAGGAGAAAACGGCATGAATCAAGCTCACACAAAGTGACTATGACTACCTTGACACGCTAGTTTCTCTTAGTAGCTCCAGTGAAAAACAAGCAACAGGTAGCCCCGTGTTGGAGACAATTATTGTCATCGTCCTAAAATATTCACCCAAGTCCTTAGTTGGCAAAATTGAGTTACGCAATTATTTTAGGAAGGTGTCGCTATAATGGACGCTTTAACTAGTGACCAAATAGCTGTTGGTTAGTTAACTCTCAGGAACATCACAAGCTTGAGGATGCATTGGCAAATATGTTTATTCAAATGATGAAAAACTAATAGTAGAACTAATAAAAACTAAACTAAAACTAAGCATTAAAAATGCAATAATAACTAAATAAAACTATCAAATCCACTGTAAGAACTAATTAAAACTAAGTGAATTAAAAGAAAAAAGTCACAACAAAGTAAAACTAAACTATAATGAAAAAATCCCAAACTATTAACCTTGGTCTTAATGAGCAAACATGGATTCCTCACTGCGAGATGGAGAGCAGGTGGATCACAATAAAGCCCTCAGATATTACTATTTTAACTTCAGGTTATATCACCTAGCTCTAGTACCAAAGATTTGGTTTGTTCAGTTTTGCAGTTTTGCACAAATTATCTTTTCACTAAAGCAAGAAATGACTTAAGGTGTGACTGAACTTTTGAGTAAACTATTTTCAAATTAGAAATTTGTATTAAAACGTTATCTCTTGTGGGGGTGTCTCACCTGAGTGATTTGCCAAAGGGGAAGGAGCAAGGACATGGTTAAGGGTCACTCTGAATGTCTTCTTCTCTTTTTTTTAACGATGGGATTACACCAGAGAACTCAGAGAATGGTTTAATTAGAAAATGGCTTTGTGTTTTGTTCTGTCCCTCAGGTGTTTTACATTTTTATGAAAGCACAACAGTCTTAGTTCTTTCTGGTGCTTTTCAAGCCGTCAGTCCTGACTCCTGACTTTAATTAAGCTCTTATCTGTCAGAAAAGCTTAAAGCCTTTCCTCCCTGACTCAACTGGCTAAAAAGACAAGAATGTGAAGACGAGGAACRGCCTCTCCTCATCTCCCTCACTCGGGAATTCTTTTAAAGACACTGCTGTAGGACTACTGGTCAATAATTACCCAGTTTATACACACTGGTTGGAACAGGAATGACTTGGATTTTCTTAAAGCAAAAGTGCCGATTTTTCTGAAGTTTGGTTCTGCTGAGAAGTTATGAACAATAAATATTTTACCTGTTGTAGATGCAGAAACTCTTTGAACAATCTCAGTTTGGAAAAATAGAGTTTAAATCTGACTGGACTGATGAGCTAATGAGTAGTTCAAGTTCAACCAAGATAAAGTGGATTGATCCACTTATTTAAATAAACGTAACACAAAAAGTAATGAATTAGTGTTTGGTAGATTATTTCTTTGTTGTAACAATGCTTCTTAGCAATAAATGTGATCACAGGAACCTGATTGGCAGCACCAGAAGCTTAACACAAGTCAATATCAAGAACAAAATAAGTTGTTTGACAGAGAAGATTTGACTTTTTTTTTCTTGTGAGCAACCCACACACTCAGCTCTACTGCTTATCCTACAAATGCATGTTCCTTACAAATGTGGCACCATTTAAAAACTGAATCAACAGGCTTTCTAATGCTAYAAGATTTAWTGCAGTGAAGCATTGTTACAACAAAGAAATGATCAACCAAACATTTTTGCTTTTTGTAAGAATAGAAGTCTGAGGTTGTTTACAAGCATAAAAAGCAGCAGCAGCTAGCTGTATCAGCAGCAGCATTCATTTCTGCTGGAATCGCCACACGTTGCAAACTTGATGGTGAAGTTTTAAGTCGAGCAATCCCATTTGATTTTGGACTGCGCTAACATTAGCGCAGTCTATTTTTGTTAAATTATAAATTTGTATAAACTACTATATTAAGAGTATTGTGTTCCAGTTTATATAATTTAATATGGATGATTTAAAACCAAGGAATTACAATGGCTTACTTCAGACTTATTGTTTAATTTCCCTTTTTTGCTTTAAAKTTAATCACTGAAGTTAACATTATGAGTTTTATTTACTCTCCTAAACAATCTAAWATAAACTATCAATTATAAATAAAATGCTGAAGCTGTCATTGTTTAGAATCAGAAAAGGTAGGCCAATTCTTTTTGTAGATTTATTTATTTTCAAGTTTTCGTAACACTTTATAATGATCTCATTCTCATTTAGGAGCTGTAAAAGTAGTGCGTGTGCGAGCATTTGTGTGTGTGTGTAAATGATCAGGTAAACAGCCTGACAGAACTGCTGCTGTTCCCAGAGGGTCTGCCCCCCCTCCTCTCCTCCTGTTGTCCACTTGTCTGACCTCCCACTCAGAAAATGTGAGGAATGCTCCTTCTTCCTGTGGGACCTGGGCAAGAATAGCTACATAAAGTGAGGAAGAACGTTTGGTGCATGTGTGCGCGCACATGTGAGCGTGTATAAGAAGCCCAATCCAGACCATACACAAACAGGCAGACAGGAAACAAGCCACCACGTGGGACGACACTGGAAAGAAACAAAAAGGAAGAACAGCAGGTCCTTGTAGACTTCGAGCCCCATGAAATCGAATCGAGCAGAGCGTTTAATCTGTTGCACCTGTCTGGTAATTGGACATAATCAGCATTTTTAACCGTGTGTCTGGTCCAGATGTGCTCCTTGCAGCACGCTTCGTGTCCCTGCAGAATTATATTAAGCCACCAGCACGCCACAGAGCCGCTGTGTGATTTATCTGCCCAGGATTCAGCAGGATATGGTGAATATTTCAAGAGGGCTCATTACCTTGAATGGCAGCAATTAATCACTGCGGTCCTCCTCKTGCGTTAGCGCTGGAACTATTTTCTGAAATTGAGCTCATGGCTCAGAGAGAATTTCCCCCAATATTTTTTACCATTCTGTCCACCTCTTTAAATCTGCTCTACATCTCAAATTCTAGTCTGAAAAMMRGSMAMMAGRWT